TATGAACAGACTTGTATCTGGTGACTTTAATTATTTGTTTTTGTTTCCCCTCAGAGGTAAAAATGATTTGCCGTTAGCGAGTTCTCATACAGGGTCGATTGTTTTCCGATCATTGTGTGAAATTATAAGTCACATAGCAGTTCCCTGGCAGGGAGATTGAAAATAAATAGTCATACAAAATTAATATCTCTGTGTGATTGACCTACTTCCAGCATATAGAGCATAGGTTCAACCAGTAATGACAGTCTGTAAAGTCAGACGGCCTTGCATCCTACGGGATTGATCTCTTTCACATTCCTGCATCCAAAGTCCAGCACCACATTGATTAACCACCAATCCCTCTTCGCTGGTGAAATGTCTGTGTGTGTGTGTGTGTGTGTGTGTGTGTATATATATATATATATATATATATGTATATATATATGTATATATGTGTGTGTGTGTATGGTACTGGTCTTTAATGGGACTAAAGGAGCAGCAGGCTAAATGGGAGTGGTCTGCTCACGTGTTAAGGATTGTGATGACAGAGTTGAGTGTGTGCATTAAGCTGTTAGTATAGACTAAGCTGTGGGACATCAGGTTAACGCATCCTCACAGGACCTCTCTGTTAAGCTATGGGTGGATAGGTCTGTATGGACCAGGCTTACAGCCATACAGACAGAGGGGCTGAGCCACTGTGCTCGGTAATTATCCAGGTCTACACAGCAGGGGCAAAAACCAATCACACCTCTCTGACCTTAACGTAGAAATTCAGTGACTGTAGTAATCTGAAATTATTTTATATTAAAAAATTCATTTAAAAAAATGAATCATTGCTATGAAGAAAAGATGAGGTAAAATAAAAGCAGAGCAAGGTGGGGGTTTTAGGCATAGTGTAACCAATCTGTGAGTGTAAAGACACAGCTTAAGTAAAGATGTAATGATATACCTAAATGTACCCTCACATCCATCACAACAGTAACTTAATGAATGATAGATAGATAGATAGATAGATAGATAGATAGATAGATAGATAGATAGATAGATAGAAAGATACATAGATAGATAGATAGATACTCTGCTGCCCCCATGTGGTAGTTTTTGTTAGTAAAACTCAGCAATAACAACACAAAATAAACAATCTTTATCAAATTTACCTACATGTAGATGAAACCAAACTCCTTAATTTAATTTCAATCAGCCTACTCTTTTAAAATGTTAATCTGCATGTGACTGCTGGCTAAAGCCATAGATACTGCAGTATATCAAGATAGGTCACCACATTATAACTTATAGATGGATGGTAGTATCAGAGGAATCTCAGGAAAGGTCTCAGCCACATTAGGTAGACCTAATAATTGGGTAGACCTAATAATATTATTATGTAATATTAAGTGCTTTACTTTATCCACATTTTTTTCCTATACTTAATTGTGTATATACTGTGCATGGGCTACAAAGTACGGTGGCCCTGAGAGCTCAATGCACTGCAACTTAAGAAAACAAATGCAAAAGGCACAAACATGCTTCAAATTCAGAAAAGATCCTCATCAATTTGACAACAAATGCGCTGCAAAAAAAAAAAAAAAAATCACAACATATGCAAATACACAAACGCACTGCTAAAACTCACAACACATGCAAGTACATTTGCAGCGGGTTCATTTTCACTAACGTTAGAATTACGTTGGAATTAACTAACGAGGAACATATAAGAGGGAGCGAAATATTTTGCTTACCGAGGCGCCTTACAATTAACGTTTAAATACTACATACCTTGACCTGCGTGACGTCAACATTAGCTGTTTAACCTTCCGTATCTTTAAGTTAGCTTGTAGCGTCTTGTTCCAACGAGCGGCACCAACGGTCACACATTAGCTATCGTTTAAATACCCTTTATGCTAGCTAACGATAGCTAGCTAACGATAGCTAGCTCAGTTCATCGTCACGTGTGCAGCTGTGTCATTGTGCCATAGGTCAATTAAAGAGACTAACCTGGTTCACAACATTAGTAATTAACACATTAAAATAGATGTCCGCAAGCTGTTGTCAAGTTTTATAAACCAATGAGCCGACATGGCGGTACCATCCGGTCCCATGGTGTAATGGTTAGCACTCTGGACTTTGAATCCAGCGATCCGAGTTCAAATCTCGGTGGGACCTCATCCTTTTCTTCAACGCGCAACATCTAGTCTTACGTGTGGACTAAATAACAGTAGCTGTGAGTCTAAACAGCAGCCAAACAACCACCAACTACACAGAATCAGGCAGTAGTAGCCGGACCCTGTTTTTTTTTTTTTTTTTGCCTTGTCCATGTCCCGCCTCTCTGGCCCCCTGGCTGCAGTGTTCAGATCCTTTACTTAATTAGAGCAATTACATCATCTAAATTCATTCTCTGGTAGGTCAAGGTGAGGCTAATTTCCTCACTTAATGCTGTTGGTTATAAAATATAAAGCAACACATATTTTGCATGAAAATCTATGAGCAAAGTAAAAAGCAACAAGTAAAGAGGACAACATTTCCCTCTCAAATAAGAATATAAACACATAACTGTGCTTATACAGCATCTTTATTGAAGTGCAATAGAGTAGAAAGTCATTTATCAACCATGATAAATAAATAGTCACACCGTGCCACTGATAATTTCACTATGAAACACAACCCACACGTTTAAATTCAAACAACTTTATTTCCACACGTAAATGGCAGTGTTAAAAACATATATACAGTAATATGCTTGAATTTAACATTTCTTTTGATGGTTTATTGGAATGTTCCTCGAATTTCTTTGCAAATATGTCCATGACAGCTGTTTCTCTACTGGGCAGCATTGGTAGAAGTGTACAGGGTTGGGGACCCTGTGCAGAATGAGTGGAGAGCCACCGCTCTCTAACAGAGCCTCCTTATACTCAGCTGTTTTCTTACCACAATTGTGGTTTATGCATCAGTGTACCCTGCTGTATACACACTGGAGCATTTGTATTCCCAGTATGTTGTGCGTGGATGCATCCTGGAAAAACACCAAAATACATTTGCTGCTAGTTCACTTTCAAACATAAGACTTGCTCAGTATTCCAGTGGAAATTGAAATGGTGCTGGTACTGTAGCCTGCCAGTGTGCATACAGCACAGTACATGTGCAATGGAAAAACTATTAAATTAGTGAAGTGGCAGTGAATTGTATTTGTGCATTTAGAAATAGTAAAACAGCCAGTACAATAACAATAATAATAATAATATAGAACTTTACAAGGCAATAGGAACACTATTATAATAAACACATTACAAATCTTTGAAATTGTCTCCTTCCCATGCTGACTGAAGTGCAGTTAATAAGAAATAGAAAAAACACTTATCTCTAACAATTTATACACTAATTTGGCACAGTCTTGTTGTGTCTGCAAAAGCTATATTCATCACAGAATCGTTTCAGAAGATTCAGATCTCCTGTCATATTACAATAAAGTTAATGTCGTAATACAAAGTGAAAATGTAAGTTATAACAAAGTTGGAGGAGGGACTATTTGTGAAAAGCACCTGTGCACACACTGCTCACGTACATTATTCCACACAGCATAGTGTTTCTGAATCTCCTCTATGAGTGCCATGTTTTTGCCAAAGTACCCCGACCCTTGGTGTTAATGGAGTGAGTGAGGAGAATGACTGAGATTCAGCATGAGTGAAATCATTGCCTCACCCCAGAGCTCCATTATCTCTGCACCGGTAATTCTCCTGTACTCATAGCACAGCTCCTACTTTGAATTGGAGGGAGTTATTATCCATAATGTTCAGCACATAATTTGGTTCCAGGAGGTAAAGCTTTGGTTTGAATCATATAAGGCTTAAAATTAACCACATACTAGTTTACATATACGTTTAGCTGTTATGTACAGCCACCGTTTCCACTGTTCTATCTCCTATTCAACATGAGCTGTGTACGAATCTGAATCCCTTTTAACATGGTAAATTCCACATTCACATGATGAGGTCTGTTTATTTGCCATGAAAGTGAGTTAAACATTTTAGCAAACTTTGTGTAAGCAAACATAGTGACTTCAAAAAACCTTTTATACAGCGGTAATGTGTAGCTTCTTCTGTTCAGTGTCCAAACTTAACATTTAACCTGTCAAGAATTAGTTTTACAACCCAAAGCTGAAATATGACTTCTGTTTTCAACATTAGAGCCGACAAAGACAAAGAACGTAACTACAGAGGCAGTGGAGTTGAGAGAAAAGGGTTAAGGTTTTCAGGTTAGCCAAAAGATTTATTGCCATAGATCCTGTTAGCGTTTTTGATCATTTTTGCCAGGTGTTCTTTCTTGTTAGCTTTTCTTTGCCCCTTTTAACTTGTTTGTTTAAGAAAATAAACTTTATTTTGATTATTTACAGCCCGTAGATCGTAGGCATTAAATTTCTGTTTTGTAATTGGCAACTGTTAAAGTTAAACCTTAACCCCACTAGAGCTAAAAGCTGAGATGATGCTACTGCTGCTCTGCTAACACAGTTAGCTTTAGCAGGAGTTCAGCTTGGTTTATTTTTCTTCATCACTGATGATTTAGCTGCTGTCTAATTTAGCTATATGGAAGAATTAACTGAGTTACCAGGTATAAGTTTATCAAAAAATTATATTTTTAAATTACAGAGCAGATAAAAATAAGTAAATGGATTTTAGCTTTAGCTAAAGCTAGTTGTGGCTATTTCACCAACTAGCGCTAGCTTGATATACAGCAGCTCTTTTGGTTTAGCTGCTGTGTTGTGCAGTTACTACAGTTTGGTTATTAGCTCAGTTTTCTGTTACACCCTGTTTTCAGCAGAAGCTATGCATTTCTATGGAGTATTGTTATATTATTATGTTGTGAAACAATGTCAAAAGTCAGATTCTGGTCTTGTGTTTACTGCATTTGGCCTTTGCAGGACAAATGAGCCCCTAATGCTGTGTATGTTCAAAACTTTAAGCACTTTGGCAACTGTACACTTCCTCAGACTGAGAGTAAATTTTGTCATTTTGTCATTTGTCATTTTGACATCTGTCTGTTACATTTCAACAGGAAATCTGAATCAAAATGTGAACTATTATTATGCTGCTTTTGTTGTGTTTCACCCTGTTAACACAATGATTCTCTTGGTGCGCTAAGCCAAAATGGGGATACTGGCTTTCCATGGGCTAGAGTATGATTATCCTTCTTAGATAAAAGCATGTAGAAAAAGTAAAATATGTGTGATCACATCAGTGGGCTATGACATTCATTGGTCACAGTGGTGTACGGGTAGAGCACAGGATTCATAAGGCAACAGATTACACAAACATAGAGTTCTGCGTCTGTGATATCAAGATGTCAGGTTCGGGATTTGCCCCTTTCTCCATTCTGACAGGAAATATAAAAACTAGGACAAAAAACATTATGATACTAGGATTACAGGATGACATAAAATTAATTTTCTCATCAGTTCTTGCAAATCCAAAAACTGGAGATGTTGCTGTAAAAATGTGTGTATATGTGTGAACACCACCTGCCTTTTAAGTGCTCTTCAGCTACTATTTACATAGATACACGCCCATCCTGTTAGCCTTTATTATAAACATATACCTGTAACCTCTCTGTTTCCTGAAGCCTCAGTCCTTCTGTGTCCCCTCCGTGCTTTATCCAGTCAGATGTCAGTGGTCTCCAGCTTGTTGAGCATGTCCGCCTCCCCATTGCTGCAAGTATTGTTTTGCTGCCCGTTGGCTTTCCGCTGCAACTTGGACAGGGAGTGGTTGTTTAGTTCAGAAGGCGCAGCAGCGGGCTGCTCCAAGTTGATGGTTGCGCGGCTAGTTTCGGTGATGGAGGAGTTGGTGTGGTAGTTAAAGAGGTTGCTGGAGATGGGTGTTTCTCCCCAGCCGGTTTTACCCCAGGTGAACTTCCGCTGAGCCCATTTCCTCCGCAGTGCTGCCTGGGCCTGGACGTCAACAATGACAGTCAAGAGAGTATTTAAATAAAATTATCCATATTTATTCTGAGATAACATGCAGCAATATGATAGTTCATGTACCTCAGCATTGCAGAAACAGAATATAATTGCCACCAGGAGTCCCTGCAAAAGTGACACAAATGAAATATTAATACAGAAACAGATGTCAGTGAGAGTATCTGTAAAACCATTTGTATGTTTAACATCCATGTCAAATCACTATTATTAGGCAATCATTGACCTTGGATGCGTTAGAGCTTTTTCCTTTCTAGCTCCTGTGAATTTGACACAAGATTCAGCTGCATGTCCAATTTCCATAGACAAGAAACCAAATAGCACTTGGTTATTCAAATTCAAAAGCAGACAGTGGCTCTATCATGCTTTGGAGTGTAGTGGAAATTGCTGAAAATGCTTTTAGTTTGATGTTGTTGCTTAATGAAAATGGGTTTAATGGTACTTAATAATCTAAAAAGCCTTTATGCTACAAACCAGCTGCGTTAGGAACAGAAAATGTCAAATCTTATATTCATAAGATAACTTGCAGGTTTTTTTATTGTCAATTTCACCAGTTTGATTTAATACATCCAGGGTTTGAATGGATCTCTGTGGCTCGTAGCAACTTTAATGTACAGTTTATTAGTGACTGTACCTGGAAGTGGCAGAAGATATTTACAAAGAAATCATATATGGCACGGCTGATGCGTCCCTCCGGCCTCCAGGGGAAGAGGATGTACTGGACCCCCAGCAGAGGGATGAGGATGAGGGTGGCTCTCACTGCCTTCATGTAGGCCGTGGACTCGGCACAGTGGGTTTCCTTCAACTTGGTGATCAGAACGCGGACGATGTTCAGGAGAAAGATTAAGTTCACCTGGGGGGGGGGCAGACATAGAAATCTGTTAATATTACCGAAGTATTACAACTTGAAGGGACGGCACGTCTTTTCATATTATCAAAGGAATTACAATGACCGGCCTGATGGTGGCACTGTAACAACACCTTCACATAAGGAGCCCATGGAGGTTTCTCCTATAACCTCTATTCCTGTTGCTCTGCATGATATTTCAATGGTAAAATGTTATTTTGATGAGTTTTTTCTTCTCATTTCCCTGGCAATAGTTATGAGTTTAACCACATGAATTTTAGTACGCAAATACAAATTAATTGATCGTGTACTTGCACCTGTATCATAGTGTGGAATTGCCTCATGAGTTTCAAGTAAAAGCACTCAGTCTGCCTTTATTTGAAAAGCAGTTTTGAGGGTCAAAACACATAAAAATCTGCATCTGACAATTTGATAGCGATCTTAGCTGTGAAGTCATGGACTACCTCATATGTACAACATTTACTTTCATTAATTACTCACAACCAGAGCAGCTTGAATGGGCCCATGGATGATGTAGACCAGGTGAGTGTTTGAGCTGATCCAACATCTGAAACAAACACAGGGAACAGGAACTGAAACTCCTGACTCCATTTATGTGAGTAGTCCTGTTCAGAATCTGCCTTCAAACTGAAGTTATACAGCCGGTATCCCAGAATGCATTTCACACCAAAGTGCACTGGCAACGACTGGCGGGGATTTTTATTTAAATTTTCCAATGTGTGGTCAGTTTATTTAACTAACAGCTGTTTATAAATCTGCTGCAGCGTTTAGGGGTTTTGAGGAGGGCCGTTGGCCGTCATTGTGCAGTCTGAGGAGACGCAATGCTTTATGGGAGGTGGAATATGTCCAGTACTACTACTTCCTGCTGTTTGATATGTATAATTGGTCATACCAGTATTTTAGTTCAAAACTCCTGTCAAAGTTACTGTATTATGTTAATACAAATGCAACACTTCCTGTAACTATTTCAGATTAAAAGCCCTCTAGCATTTCGGTGGACAGAAACCTTTTTTTTTCTTAACAGGACTTTTATTGTTGTGCTGACGTGCTGCAGCAAGTGTATTGTCTCATTTCCTGTCGCTGGTGTTTCTGTAGTTTTCATGTTATTCAGATCTGCTAGTTTCTTTAGCAGTTATCGATGGCTTCTCTCCCTAACACTCTCCTGCTCTCTCTGCTCGGTCCATCTTATCTTTAGTTATTCCTCTGCTTCCTTTAAGTGATAATGGTACAGGTAGTAAATGTAGTCTATTTGCAATGGAGGTGAGGCTCAGTGAATTGAAAGTGCAACTCCGCTTTTTGGCAGCTCCCTGCTGAATTATTTTTATCCCCGGTGGGGTCGGGTCGCGTTGGTGAGGGGTTGATTACATATGTGAACCCAGACCCAGAACATGCACGGAGCATGCTCGCAATGAATGAATGACAGGCACACAGAGAGGGCCGGTAAAAACTTCATGGAGTCTTTGACTGGACCACCACTGTGGTGGCAGCCACTCCGACTATGAAACAGTCTATAGTGCAAACAAAAAATCAGAAATGGACTTTCACTGTAAGGGCTCATGCTCCGGTGACAATAGTATTTATTTTTATGTTGACAGCAGGTTGCACTGTTGCATTTTGACCAGTATATATACTAGGTTTGTACCTACTCTTGTTATATACAGTCTTTGTGAGGGTGAGGGTTTGGGATTATCAAAATCTGTGTGGCAATATTTTTTACAGTCGCTTTGATGCTGGCAGTGTTTTATCGAACTGTTCAGCTAGAACACATTTAGTTCTTGGACGGACTGGATATCACAACACAACAGTGCCATACAGTGAACTGTTGCTGAATGAAATTGAACAGCTGAAAATCATTCTGGAGAACGAACTGAGGGAAAGGGAGAATTAGAGAAGCTCGGTGAGGAACTAATCGACAGGTCGTACCACGCCTGGTAACCTGCCAGTCAATCAGGAATGCGACTGGAACTTTGTGAAAACTCATTGTGTTTTCAGTTCATGAAAGTGTATAACTGAGGCCTTCGCGGTAACATTTTGTTTACCTAAAAATGTCTTGTTTAGCAGTCGGTTATACTGAAAGGCATTCTAAGGAGTCGGCTGATCAATTTTTTTTGGTAAGTACATTTTGTTTTAAGCCTGTTTTTCTCAAGACAAATTTAGCATCCCAAATAATATCACAGTTAACGTGAATTAGGGATTGACCTTGCTAACTAAGCTAAACAGCTAGTGCTTGCATTAGTACTAGACTCAGCCAACAGAGAGGGGCTCACAGAAATTTTACTTGATGAAGCAAATCAATATCTTTCAATTCCTGAGCCTCAAAGTGATCAAACAGAGTAAAACAAGTGCACAGGAAGGAGGGGAGGGAGAAACCCTGGACTGTAGTTACACAAGGTTATATACTATAACATTCTTGGTCTTGATCTGGACTTGAGCTTCAGTGCAGCGAATTTAACTACATTGGTGACATCTCTATGGATAGTGGTCTTGGTAGCTACATCTTACTTGTCGTTAAAGAAGAGCCCGCGAGCCACAGCATATGTCAAGGCAGGAACGATAGGAAAACCTAAGGAACAGAAACACAGGCAGAAATATCAGTCTGACATCCTGAATCTCTTCTGTTGCATCACAATATTTAAACATAAAGTGAAATCCAAAACAACGAAAGTATATTTCCCCAAATACTAAACTATTCCTTTATGTAACAATTAACCCACTAAACAAGTTGTTGTATACATTTTCAGCTCGAGAAAGCTGAAGCCAAGTTTTCAATTACTGTGAGAGCAGCAGCAGCAGCAGCAGCAGCAGGGTCTTAACAGTAAAGGCGACACGTAGGACATGTGCCATTCTCATTACAGCAAGGCCATATACTGTGCAGATATAAAAAGATGCGAGGCTTCGAGAGACATAAAAGAATCCATTTCGAATGCGTAAGAGCTGCTTTAATGTGGCTGCACAGAGAGGCCACCGGAAAGCCTAGATGAGAGTTTCTCATGAAAAGCCCACTTATCAAAGCGCAGGTACATGCAGCCTTCAAGATTACATTTCTGTGGTGCTGAATTATGTTTGAAAACTGATGCTGTCGGTGCAGTAGAAGATCTCAAGACTGCTCTCCTTGAAAACGTGTTGAGGATAATGTATTGCATGTGCATTATAAGCATCATAATCAGAGTGTTGCCCACAAAATGCACCTGCAAAGGAATCTCATTAATGCAATTCCTTCATATTTATTTGATGATTGTACTGTAAGAAAGGTTATATACAGTATATTCATCTGTGTAACCTGCTGAACCTGACCACAAGATGGAAGCAGCTAACACTGAAACACCATAAGAAAAGGGTCGGTGGTGAAGTGGCAGCGAAGTGGCAGTGAAGTGTCCAATCCCCCTGACTCACCCCATCCCAGGACGTAGTACCAGAAGAGCTGCTGTTCCCCGACAAACACAGCCACTATGATGAGCGTGTGGAGGTAGATGCCTTCACACAGCATCCAGAAGTAACTGGAAGTAGATGTATACTGAGTCAGCACAGCCAGGACCTTACAGCTCACCTGATGGACAGGAAATGGTAAAACTTCACTTCAAATGTGTCACGATGAATTAGAAGCAGCTTTTAACCCATAAAGACTATGGCTAAAAACAACAACAACAAAAGGTATTAAAGTTATTTGTAGGACATTTTTAACACGGGAATATTAGGTGAAGTGAAGTGAACTTCATTAGTGCAATGTGATGAAATATAACTCAGTGTCTCACAGGGTTGCTGGCATTTATGGTGTGGTTATTGGCCACAGTGACTGAGAGCCACATTATAGTAACAATGGAGTTCAAGATGAAGGAGAGAAACATGTTCTTGTGGAGGGAGATTCTCTGGCAGCTAAGACTCCTGAAAGATGGGGAGACAGACGGAGACAGAAGGAACAGTTCATCAGTTTATCACTTAAGTTTACTTAATTTTTAAATGCATATACTAATATTCAGTGTCAATTATTAGATATTGAATTTGCATTTTCATCTGCTGCTAGCAGGACTAATAAAAAGTTTGCGTAGAACATGTAGACATGTGGAATAGATCAAAATATTGCATTAGAAACACTAATACCCAGCTTATTATTAACAATTCAACCAACGGGATAAAAACACACTGATCATATTAATAGAAACACCGAACACACCAAGTGAAATTACCATATAAAAAGTCGATATTGTTGTCTACAAACAGCGATTTTGTACCATTTTTTTAAAAGTCATCTGAGACACTGAATCTCTACAGGAATAAAGTGAGTAAATCCAGACATAAAGAGTATAGAGATGTTCAGTCAGACCACAGAGAAGAAAACTCTCACTCGACTCACTTGAAGTAGGAGAAGATGATGACACAGATGATCAGGGAGACAATAGACAGACCATGACCCACCATGGCCAGGTAGTAGAGGCTGATGGCAAACTGTAGGGGGAGGGAAATGGTTCCATTATAATGAATAGAGATAAATTCACCACTTATTAAGAACAGCTATAAGTTCCTAGTCTATATGTTTGCATAGTCTCTATACCACATGCTGTCAAAAGCACAGAAGCAAAGAAAACTTCTGTAGAGAGAATATTTCGGGAAAGCCGTTTGATAAGTGTTTCCAGAACGATCATATTTAGATACACATCGTTGTTGGACACATGTCATGGCAAGATTCATGAAACAATGTGCTCTGACAGACTTTACAACGCCAGTTCCTACAGAAATATGTGTGTGCAGGAGCTGTATAAGCTTCTTGTAGATATGAGGGTGGATTAAATCGATCCTAGATCAAAAACTACAGGTCAATGTGTTAGATTTTGAGTTTGAAGTTTAAAGAAGAAGAAATCAGGATGTGCAGGAACATAGATATCTGCTTCAAAGTTACAAAGAATTTTCTTGTGATGGTTAGAGTTCGAACCCATTTTATACAAAAGCATAAGAGCATAAAACTTGAACATTGCACTCTGATTAGTTCAACATAGTGAGGATGGTATTTATTGCACTTTATTTCATAACGACACAGTGACACCGCCCAGTTACAGGCGAGTCACGGTGCGTGAGTGAAAAGTCCCATTTTGACAGTTCAGAGACTGTAAAGGAATCCGACTCCACTAGCTGAACTGTAACTTTAAGCTAAGCGCGGTGGACTCAGCTTGTTTGCTGTAGCGTACAGGCTCTGGTGTTCATGCCAGTTCAGAACACATGATTCAGTGAGTGCAGACTGCAGAGTGCCCTCAGGTCATGTTGTTGTGCTCAGCTGTCCAAGCATGTGTTGTGTAAGTGTGGACTATCAGATATCAACATCTGTCATAGACCCTTCTGGTGTTATTTCCTGTAGTTGCTTCCAAATCATGCAAAAAAAAAAAAAAGTCTGACGGTTACTATGCATCAGTCCATGTGAAAGAGGACAAAGCGCCTTGTTTTTTGATTCCAAAGAGTGACATTATTGTGAATTAACCTTTGCAACCTTCTCATACACTGTGTTTTACCTTGAGTTTGTCTTTGGTGTAGGCCTGACACTGGGTGTAGTTAGTCCAGATTCGGTTGCTCTCTGGGTGATGGAACCACTGGCCGTCAGGATTACACACTTTGGTAACCTTCTCTGTTGAAGACATTATCACATTACATTACATTACCCAAATATTCCTTACAGTTCGATTTACAAAGAAAAGCTCACTATAAGCACTACTTGTAATTTGCATATGTTTCTGTGTCAGTGTATTGGTGTATATGTGTGTGAGAGAAACCATTTATTTATATATTCATTTATGCAATGTACAGCAAAAAATAAAAAATAAATGAAATCACCACCATCACAAATCACCATCACCAGGGGAGATACAGAGCGTCTGCCGATGGATTTTTTTTGTTTGACTTCATGTGTATCTGCGCAATTACGTTTGAACCCCTAAACTTTGGGCGCTTTGTGTTAAAATGGTATTTATCTCCCACACAGTTCTTTCTATATTCATGTAAACCTACTGAAATCAAAGCGGCGACTTGGCACTTTAATGTAGTATCAGTTACTTTTATTTCAAACTGAATGTGCTGAAGCTCAGAGCCTGAAAATCAAAACATGTGTCACTGTCCACATACTTGTGCGTTTCTGCGTGTGTGTGTGTGTGTGTGTGTGTGTGTGTGTGTGTGTGTGTGTGTTAAGGCCTCACCAGCAGGGTCAAAGTCGTGAAAGTACTCAGGACACATCTGCATTGCGGTCCCAGGAGCGGAGTCCCCCCAGCACAGCCAGCCGTCCCACGTACGATTACAGTAAGTACCTACAGAAAGCAGCGCAGACACGACATTGAACTTGCAGGGCGTGCAGACACTAGAGACATGACACACGTGTATGAAGTTTTACTCATGAATCCCTCTGGCTCTTGCTTTGGCTTTTTTAAACTTAACTTTAATGTAATACAGTTTCCTACACGTTCAGACCTTACATACGAGGATACTCTGTCATCTGAAATACCAAACAGGTCCAGGACTAGAAATAAAAGGATGTAAAAGACGTTCTTCCTCCACCTCTAGTTTCAAAGTGATGTATGCACAAACAAGGCACCTCATCCCTCTGTAGGTGGTGCTCTTTCTCTGCTCAGTACGTCAATATCGCAGGGTGGCAGAGGATTCCTCCAAGGAAAGATGTTTCAGCCTCTGCATGTTTAACACCAAAAGTAAAAGCTGGTATCTTATATAAAATATGAACTTACTCAATAACAATGTCTTATGCATATTAATCATTTACTCTTAAATAATTAGGGGCAGTATTTTACTTTTAATGGGGAATTGTAGGAGGTATAATGACGTCTCACGCGTTTTTAAAAATTTTTTTACTTCTTCTTCTCACTCTGTGCTCTTTTATTAAAGTTGACCGTATTGCAGGTCAGGTTATCTGTATAGTAAATCTTTTAAGACCGCTACAGTTCAAGATTGTACTCTAGTATTTTATTTATTAGGTTTGGATGCCATTTCAAAGGAACATTTGAGAAGCAACCCAGTCAAAATAGAAGTCTTATGTAATGTATTATCACATCATTCTGCGCTGTCAGTGTCTCACATGTCAACGGGGAATCATAAAGGTAGAGAACTGTTTAAATTTTTAATAAAGTCCCCCGACTGAATGAGTCATAAATTATCTATTCAACATAAATGGTGTTACACTTACATAAACTAAGTGTCTAACCGCAGCCCATACAAAGAGGGTCAACAATAGACGGAAACCTGGCGGTACCAGGTTGCACAGTGGCATGTTGGGAAATGGAGCACAAATAACATTTCAAAGGCAGTGAAGCACCGAGTCGGAGTAACAGCCACTGGTAAAGACACAAAGGGCAAGTTTCCTTTCTTTCAGACTTACTTCCTCTCTCTCTCTCTCTCTCTCTCTCTCTCTCTCTTTCTCTATTAGTGTATGCATATACTGGAAATTGCAGGACAATCAGTAATGCATATATCTAAATCTGCATGTCATAAAGAAGTTATCAGCACAAGCATTATTTAACAATGTGTGGAGAGATTTTATAGTCTTGAGGTGTATGTACTGACTTGGGATATCTTAGGATATTGTCACTTTTTCTCGTGTGAAGCCAGAAGATGGAAAACGCCCACTGTGACTTGAAGCTTGGCAAGAACAGCAGTTGTAGTGGATGATTTATGTACCATCAGCCACATGGGCCAATAACGAGCCCATTCCACGCGTTGATAAGTGACACAAAGGTGAGATTCATGTTTTATCTGAAGTGTTTCCAAAAGTGTTTTTCGGAAAGTCTGATCAAGGTCAAGAACGACTGGTTGGTTTGGAAAAATACGTACGTCTGATTAACCAGGGTTATTACAGTTCATCCTATATGGGGAACATGAATGGCTATACCACATTTCATAGTTTCAATAGTTGTCAAGACATCTCACTAAAAGTGAAAAGTTGAAAAAGTTAGGGGATCAAACCAACGAAAAGACTTCATCCTCTAGAGAACATGAATGTTTGTTCCATCTTTCACGGCAATCCATCAAATAGTCGCGGATCATTGAATCTTAGATATACCCGTACCAAGTATCTTACTGATGCAGTGAAAGCATTTATTATTTCTTCTAGAAATATGTTTCTACATTTTTAAGTTCTTACTGACTGATGAGGAAAAAAAGCCTCTATGAAGATGGTGTGAAAGTCTGGGAAACAGAAGGAACACGGTGCTGGTTCTGTTGTGGCTTGGGCATGTTTATGACACAGTGACGTTTATTGATCCATTTCACAGTCTCCTCACCTTCTTCTGTATGTGGTGGATCGCTGATTATCTTCAGGTAGCACTCAAACTGAGCAGCCAGAATCTGGTGTCGGGAATTTCCTAGTACAGTGGATATGTCGCTGAAATTCTCCTGCTGCCCATGCACCGCCTTTTTGACAGCCACCATGGACCCCACATCCTCAGACCGGGACAGCTGGGTGGTGAAGTCATCCAAAAATACAGATAAGGTATATTATAGATATTACAGCTGGAAAATCAATCTACAAATACTTACTTACTTACATACCACAGCTGTACTCACCTCTGTGCCCAGAACCAGTGCAACTATCAGTGAGAGTGTTAGAGTCCGCCACATGTCTCTGAAAGGAATACAGGACAAAGCATTTATTAGACATTTTAATGCATAATAAACAAAAGCATGCAGGCAAGAAAATATTCTGCATATACTGTATTACAGTTGTAATTTGCATTCCAATGTGCGTGTGTGACTGCATGTTTTTTTTAAGCGGGCTTGTGCATGTTTATTTACAGTATGTGTATTTTCTCATCTCTCAGGACAGGAAGTTCATGCTCCAGCAGCTATTCCTCTTCACTGTCCACCCAGGGTCAGAGAAACAGATGCGTGTTTATTATTGTTTTTGGGCAAAAGGGCAGCAAGTTCCCTTTAGTGTTTCCTCTGTAATGAGCCTAACATGGGTGAAAGAAATCCTCGGCGTAACGACACATAAGACGGAGGTGAGGGTTTTATCCGTGAGAAGGGAAGCTGGCTGCAGTGTATTTCAGTGATTGGATAACATGATATCATCAGCTGTGTTCTTTAATTTTGCTGTAAATACAAGTGATAAATAAGTATATAATAATTTTGTTGTCAATCACAATACCAGATGCTCATTTCAGGTTCGTTTTGAACTGTAAAATGTATCCAAAGCACAGGGAGAATTTTTAATTTAATGTTATAATAGATATATGCAAAAAAAATATTTAATGGGTTTGAATATTTAAGTGGTTTGAAAATTGATGGGAGTGTGAACTCGAGGGGTAACTGTGAGGGGAATTGGAAAGGAACATTGGAAACTTTGAGTGTTTGAATGTTAAAAGTAGCTACGGTTCAAATTCACGCCAAGAAACTCGTCTTTGAGGCCAGAGTAGTGAAAACATTTTGACAGTTGAGAGCACAGGAAAGAGAGATGGAGAAAACAGAGGAGAGAGAAATGTGGGAAATGCTGTGCGTCAAGGGCGTGAGGAGTTTCAGGAACCAGTGCCTTGAATAGGTCGAACAACCATTCTTCATTCTTTGTTTTATTTTTTCCTTCTACCTGCTCCGCTTGCTCACGTACAGCGAGAGACGCCGAGCATTTGAGTGTGTTGACGAGCTAATGAAGGGAAAAACAAGAACTAGCCCATATAAGTCAAACAGAGCTTTTTAATTAAATATGCTTCCGTGAGCATGTTAAGCATAATTTAATGCTCCAATGTTAAGTGATTTTGTGTAATGCCTCTTTTGACTCACCCCAAGACACAAAGCTAATTATTAAAACATTTGCAGTAAATAAATTCTCAGAGTTCAACAAGTTAATATTTATGTGTATCTAACCTGTCAGCTTTGACGCTCGGAAGACATTAGAAAGTTGCACAAATATCAGAGGCACGTAAAACACAATTTGATGCTAATGCTAGCTGGTGCTGAGATTTCTGTAGTTTTAAGAGTCAATATAAACTTTTGCCAACTATCACTATGTAGTTAAAAAAAAAAAAAAGCTGAAAGGAATGCTCTATATTTTGGTAAATAATTTTTCGCTGTCTTACCAAGATAAGAGGATCAGTATTTTCATTTTCAACGACACGTTTAGCCAAACGTTAGCTTAGCAAAAACAAGAAGTGGAAGGAAATAGCTAAACCTTGTTCTGCTAAAGATGCATTTAACAACACCAAAACTTTAAGAGAAGAAGACATACTGTACACTGTGGTTTAACAAGTTGTTATCTTATGTGCTACAAGTTACTGACCAATAATGGACAAACAACGAACCAAAGGTGATTAGTTTGTGTAGTTTGCTCGCTACCATGATAATACATGTAAAAAGACAGCGTCTAGTGGTGGAGGTAGTTTTCTTTTACTTTTGAAGGGAGCTAGTTGTTTAGCTTAAACGTTGTGGAGCTAATTCTTTAAATAGTTTCCTCCTTGTGACAGACAACACTGCTATACGATTTGGCAGCCGTCTGCAGTAGGATACACCGAAAGACATTCATGAATGCAAAGATAATCCAAAAAAGGTGTTTTGTTTTTTTTTTGTCATCTTTGCTGCTGAGCGCTCGTTGATGATTTTTTGCATCGTTTCCCTCCGACTGCAGTTTGAGTTTCTGTAGGCGACGACAACCATACACACAGACACTCACAAACACCCACACATTAATTTATAATTACAATTCCATTCAATAAAAACCAAACAACGAATGGCTTTCTGTCTGTTTTGTACACAGTTGACTCGAGCGTTGCATTGTTCCCGATCAGGACATTGTAAATCCAAGGACACACACACTCATGTATTATAATACCCTGGCAGTGCTCGCTGTATGCCATTGTCACCAATGTACACTGCGTACAATCTATCTGTCAACTGTGGTCAAGTAGTTTGGGTTCCTTGCTCTCTGGTAACAATACATTCTGAGAGGTCGTTGCCTCTGTCACTTCCTCTGTCCGCGTGTTTTTGTCCCTCATTTTCTCCAGGGTCATTGCCTCTCATTATGAATCGAGGCGATTCAGAGCACGAGACATAAATACCGAAGAATATCATTAAAAATGTGAATGTATGTACATATTTGTGATGCCTGTATATGACAAAGTGTGTGTTTGAGATGTGTGTTTTTTGTGTCCAGACATTATCTCCCACAGGAGGACATATCTGCCCCTCCACTCTTTCTTTCTTCCTCCTCTTTTATTGTCTCATGTTTTCCTCTCATTCCTGCCCTTTTGACAGTCTTTTCCTCCCAACCTGACTCTGTCTCCTCTGTTATTTCTCTTCCGACACTGTCGTTTATCATCAACATTTATCCCTGTCACTGTCTCTCGTTGAGTCTGTGTGGTGTCCCTTACGCTTCCTGGCCACTCTGGCTCTAATTCAAGGAACATATCAGGGTTGCAGCTCAGCTCTGGAAAGTGATAAGGAGAAAAACACCAAAAACACTTTCGTTTAAACAACCTTTAAGAAAGTTGTTTATGTCTTTGCTCTTACCTCTGTGAAACGTAGCAATCTACAGCTAGCAACATTAGCGCTGTAGCTAAGTTGGAGCCAGTTGGTGCAGCATCACCGGGGGGTCCTCAGTGGTAAATACTGTGCCGACCAATGCAGAATGCGCGGCACAAGTTTTTCTGCTGTAATGTGAATATGAAAAGACCAAACTAATGATGAATCAACTCTACTAACAAGTACTGCCTGTATATCCGAAGCCTCATATGTCTTATTGCTCTGAGCCAAGGAGCTCCGCTGTTGTCCAAAAATGATTACAAACACATTAATCAGCCACGCTGCTGCACTGGGTGACATGTTCCTTCATTATGATACAATCCCACATTCACTATCCTGCTGCTGCTGTAACATACTTATTAAGTACACGGTGTCCATGGAGAAAATTGACATTGCAAAAATGCTTTTACGCCTGTTTGAGTAATGTCTTCTAAAATACACAGTGCCTAGATGTTTTATTAAATTACAGAGCCTTTATAAAGAATTTATTTATGACTCGTTTTTAAGAATTTACATGTTCAGTGGTGATTGAGTGATTGAGCCTGGGGCTGAATGCCACAGAGAGACAAACTAACACATTGCTGTAGAGTTTTGGTCTTTTTATGGGATGCACTGACAATAACAAATGTATATTGCAAATGGAGGGTGTAGTTTAAGTATTTTTCTCCTGTATTTTCAGCATTATTTTTCCAACACAGCCATATTCAGTTGCATGGAGCATGTAAAGGTTCCTTCCCTTTTTCATTATAAAGTACACCACAGCCAATGATGTACAAATGAAACATGGGTAATTGTTATGTCTATGTTAGTTGATAAATCTTCCAATAGCTCAGTGTATTCCTTTAAAGGAGCCCTGATTTCTTTCTCCGCTGTGATGTTTAGTTGGTCTGAGAGCAGTCATTGTCAAACTGGAATGTGTGGTTTGCTTGTCTGGTAACAGCTGTAGAAACAACACGGAGCCACGAGTGCACCATGTGTAGGAGACTCATATTAACACGACACAACACAGAACGGTCATCTATGTGCAGCTATAATCGTAAAAAAATATATTAACACGTGTATATCCGCCTGCAAGAAAACCTCACATCAGGCTGCAGCAGCGTGTCTTGGCAACCGAGGGTTTCAAGGTTAAGTGATGTTTGTGATGAATCTGTCTTTTGTATGCATGGATCATCCACCTTGCAACATACACACAATCATCACAGTGATGGGCTGAACTTCTGTTTCACAAGGTTTAATGCCAAGGTGATGGACACATTTAACAAAAGAATCAAATATCTGCCTACTCAGTGGAAAGAGGAGGAAGGCTTAATATGTTGTACGCAGTGTATCAGTGCTTCTGAACTAGTTTGACTGGCTTCTGCGCACCAGAGACAATGCAGACACAGGTTTGTGTTTGAGCCTCAGGGTCCTTTACTTTATATTTAGATACATTCCAATGGAGACAATCCTCAACTGAGGAAAATAAACACACGTTTCCTGAGCCACGAATTCATACAACGCCTTAAGATCATAGGACAAGTCAATGTCGTTGTTATGGAAAGGGCTTCGTCACTAAACGTTTATTTCTTTTTCTGCTAAAACAAATATATTTCTTAGGATTTGTCAATGAGCTAGAGCTTCAAGAACATAAATATGATTATTAGTGGCCAGAACAAACTAATGTACAATATATTTAATCTAATGGAAACTGTCTCTCAATAACTCATCTGAGGCACACTAGGACGTAATCGGACATACAGTAGACCGGCCACACCTGACAACAGACAACAATTTAGAAATAGCTTTCCTGGCTATGAGTAGTTAAACAACAATCCTGAAGTGTTGCCTTGGCCGGCGCTCCGCACTTTCATCTCCCTCCAGTGTTTAAACATCATCACTCTGCAGCATTTGATCCATTCTTGGGAGTTATTTACTGATGAACTGCATCCACTTTTTTGTTTTTTTCTCATACTACTTCTCCCTCTAAATCAATTATGATCTGCTAGAATTCCCAGAATGCCTTTGGATCACTTCCAAAGAATGGTAATTTTCCATTTAGGAGTCGGATGTAGTGAGCTGTACATCCGATCTAAATGCGTAGGTGGGGAAAACAGAACCAGACTTTCCAGTGAG